ATCAGAACACATACAACATTTATAAATTAAGCTCATTGTCACATATGGGTGCCCCAAACAATTACAATAGTAACATCAGATATCGCTGATCACAGGTCACCATAATAGTTATAAAAATAATGAAAATGTTTGAAGTATTACAAAAATTATCAAAATGTGACACAGATACATGAAGTGAGCACATGCTGTTGGAAAATGGTGCCAATAGAGTTGCTTGACTCAGGGTTGCCACTAACCTTCTGTAAAAAATGAACTATCTGTGAAGCCAGTAAAGCAAAGCTCAATAAAATGAGCTCTGCCTGTATGTTTATACACGTGTATATACATATGCCTGTGTGTATTATATATGCATATTTTACATGTATATGGATGTGTATATTACCATATATATCAAATACACATACCTATGTACATAGATATATAACATACATCTATATGCATATATGTGCAAAGACTAGAAATTTTTCTAGTGCTGTATTCCAGTGTCTAGCCTATGGATAATGCAGTGGGTATCTTCTGAATACACACTCCATTTTAAGAAATCTTAATCTTTTTGAAAAGTTGGAATAATATTAGAAGTTTGGTGTCCAGTGCAAAAGGTTTTACTGTAAAAATATTATGAAAAATAGAAGTTGTGTGTAATGTATCAAATATTCATTATTTATCTTTATTTTGGGATGGGGACAAGTTAAATTTAGGGACTCTGAGGAGAATATGTTCATTCCATGTGCAACAAGTGAAGAAGAAAAGTGAAGTGGGAGTGTTGGAAGGAAATGAGCATGTGTCTCTGTGTCACATTTTGGTAATTCTCACAATATTTCCACTTTTCCATTATTTTTATAACTGCTATGGTGGTCTGTGATCAGTGATCTTTGATGTTACTATTGTAATCGTTTGTGGTAGCATGAACTGCATGCTACCACATGAGAGGTTTTAATACTCATAGAAGTTGATGGTTTTTATAGGAAGCCCTCCAGACCCTCCAGATTTTCTCTTCCACTAAAATTGCAAACTAAAATTAATGAATATTTAGTACATATCGAGTACAATAATTATAAAATGCCTGATTTGAGGTCCCACATTCACATATCTGTTATGTAAAATATTCATTTGATTGCTAAAACATTTGTATTTGTGGTCTTTTTTTAGTTCCCTAGATGAAGATTAAATTATATAAATAATTTGGCTAATAAGGAAAATAGTGAAGAAATGAAATTTTAACTAAAAGGAAGTCAATGAAAGGATTAATTAAGTATAAAATAATCCCATTGTAATTTATCACAGAAATGAGTTTTTAAGGTCTTGTTGCAATAAATAACATGAAGATGTAAAAATTTTTTTAAATAATACTTAAAGCAAATGCAGAAGCAGAGGAGCAGAGTCTGTGTTTAACTCTAGCTAATTACTTAGAAAGAAAATTATCTGTGCCATGAAAGCATTCAACTGTCTGCATGAACAAATGTCTCTATCAATACACAGCCTAACTCAGTTCCCACAGGCTCAATGTGCAACAATATTTGCCTATTCACATTTTTTTTTAATTTAGCACCTACTATGTGATAGGCACTGCCAAGGATATAATGAGTAAACAAGGTAGATATGGGTTTTGCCCATAGAGGATAATTCTATAGAAATGGTCAAAACTCTATATACACAGAAGTATTTTTGACTAATTGCAAGGCATTATGAAGTATGAAACAAAGGACTTGAATAATTTAAATAAGACTTCATATGTTTGTTGGTCATTAGTCTGTCTTCTTTTAAAAAGTTTCTGTTCATGTCTTTTGCCCACTTTTTGATAGGATTGTTTGATTTTTTCTTGCTGATTTTCCTGAGTTCTATATAGATTCTAGTTATCAGCCCTTTATTGGATGTGTAGCATGTGAATATTTTCTCCCATTATGTAGATTGTCTGTTTGCTCTCGTGATAGTTTCCTTGGCTGTGCAGAGCTTTTTAATTTGATAAAGTCCCATTTGTTTATTTTTGTTGTTGCTGTGATTGTCTTTGGGGTCTTCTTCATAAATTCGTTGCCTAAGCCAGTGTCTACAAGAATTTTTCCAATATTTTCTTCTAGAATTCTTATAGTTTCATGCCTTAGTTTTAATACATGAGTGGATTAATAAAATGTGGTATATGTATACCATGGAGTTCTACTCAGCCACAAAAAACAATGGAGATATATCACCTCTTGTATTATCCTGGATAGAGCTGGAGCCCATTCTACTAAGTAAAGCATCCCAAGAAAGGAAAAACAAGCACCACATATACTCACCATCAAATTGGTATTAACTCACCAACACTTATATGCACATATAGTAGTAACATTCATCGGGTGACAGGCAGGTGGGAGGGAGGAGGGGTTGGGTATATATACACCTAATGGGTGTGATGCGCACCATCTGGGATGGTCATGCTTGAAGCTCTGACTTGGGTGGGGCAAGGGCAATATATGTAACCTAAACATTTGTACCCCCATAATATACTGAAATAAAAATAATTAAAATAATAAATAGACTTCAGCGTGGCAGAGGGAACAATGGTCTTTGGTATCATTTTTTCAAAAATTCCCATGAAAGAGAGTGACTATTGTTGCATCAAGAAGCCATAATCCTACTGATGCATTTTGCCTCATTTCACATGGTTTGGCTACAGGGTTTATTTGGAATCTCTATGCATACTCCACAATACCCATGAATTTGCAGGCCAAGTCTGATTCTCCTTTATTATCAGAGAGGTATTAAATTTTATCAGCACATGTGATAATGTGAAATTGATTCAGATGGTGAAGTAAAATTTCTTTATCCTTAGAAATAGCATTAATTAGAACAAGTCTTTTAGGTGTTATTAGTTAATATGTCATGTTAATATAAGTTATTGTGAGATGCAAAGAGGTAGTTTATACTAGTGGAAATAACATGTACTTTCTATTCAGACCAACTGTGCTTGAATATTAATTCTACTACTTTCTGTGGAATTATGAGCAAGTTATTCACATCATTATCACCATCACTACTACTACCCCAGCCACCCCAGCCTCATTTTCTTATCTATAAAGTGGGAATCTATTTGAATCAGGGTTTGGGGAAGGTAAATAGTAGTCATTATACAAATGGTAACTATACTATCATTGATAATATAGACTATGGATGCAATGAAGCCAATCAGAAAACTTTTTCTATTACCAGTAATTACCAATATCATTGACTATCACAAGAAAAGTCTCTGGTAGTCAATGAAAAAATAGAAAATAGTGGTTTATCTTAGATAAACATATATAAAGTGAATGGCGGTGACACTGCTTCAAGTTAACTCATCAGTTTAGATGTATAATGCATATATATATATATATATATTAAATGTATAATGTGGGCATCACATATGGATTTGGCTTGGTAATTTATGATATACATACATCATACATGTATCAGTGGAAAGATGAAGTTACTTTTTTCTTCTCTTAAATCATTTTACCTTACTAAAGATATGTGCTTTACTTCTTTTCTCTTTCTTTTAAAATAGTATGTTTTATTTTCTTTCAGAGTATTTTGAAACTATGTAACCATTTACTACACCAAAATGTTTTGCAAATTGGGATTTAAGGGTGAATGAAGGGCCTCTTCAGAATTCAGTGCCTAAAACTAGATGTTTCCCCTTCCTGATCTAAGAGCTATTTCTACCACTAGCAAAGAGTTACAGTCATTCTGGGTACTGCACTTTAAAGGAAAAATACTTTTTCTTGGCAATGGGCAGTGATACCATCGATTAGCAGTTCTATAAGAGTGAAATAGCTAAACTTCTTTCTAAAGGAACTGAAATTTGCACCATAACCATTAAACACAAGGTTAGTTATGGACACTTTTGATCAAAGTGCCTGTCTCCCGCTGGTATTTATTATAAAAAGACCTAGAGAAATAGTCCCTCTCAAGAGCATGTGCTGAGCACCCATAAGTAGCAAGACATCCTACTGTGCAGTATGATATTACAGTAATTTGGGTTCAGGGGTTTCTTGCACTGATGTGTGCTGACAGAACAGGTACAAACACAGTATATAAAGGGAACAGTGGCATGAAGACACATACACACAGCAGTGCTAGGAGTCTCCAGGGTAGGAGAGAGAGGAAGAGAGATATGGGTTAATCAGGAGCTGCTCTCTGGGGAAGACTGCCCAAGCTCTGACTGACGTTTGACATTGATTAATCGATACTCTATCCTAGTGTTTAACAAGTGTTCCATCCAGAAAGTCTTCTGTAATATTTAACTTCACTTCCTTCAGCTTCAATTTATGCACATTTCTTTTGTCCTCTCTTCAAGAGAGCTAGACAGCAGGCAGGAACAAAACCCTTTATATTCATATATCTAAAGGGCTTTCTTTTTCTGTCATTCTTCAGTCTTCTCCAGGCTAAGGAAAAACAAACAATAAAAAAATTAGTTTAATCATTCCTCAAAGGACCTATTTAATTTGACTGCTTAATAAATAATAAGCTTTGATACTGTGCTTTAAGTATTTACTCTTTGGAAAGAAATTTAATAATTCTGACAGTGATGTGGAAAGAATTATTTGATTTGTATTTTAAAACAAACTTACATTCAAAGCCCAAAACAAAAATCTTGTAAAATAAGAGGTTTATAAAGTAAAATGAACATTAAGATTATTGAGGCTAATACTAGTATGTATTCATATAAATTATATTAATAACTTATACCTCATTATTGCCTTTTACTTTTTTGAAAGTAGAAAGTTAGTGTCTTTGTGTCTATATAATAGCATTATGACGTAATTTGAGAAGATATTGGATTAATTTTTTTTTTTTTTTACTTTAGTGTGTTTTACAGAGACCTCTGTTTGTTTTCTCTGCACCGGAAGCTACATTTTTGTGCCCCTGTGTACCAAGCAGAAATTGATCTGCAATACATGCGGAGTCTCCAAGGGTATATTTAAATTTAGTAATTTTATTGCTAACTGTGAAGTTAATCTGCACTATATGGGTTTTTTCCCCAGGAAATTGAAGCAGCAGTTCGAGCTAAACAACCGGATGTGGAAGGGATTTTGTCTAAAGGGCAGCATTTGTACAAGGAAAAACCAGCCACTCAGCCAGTGAAGGTAATGAAGCAACCTCTAGCAATATCCATTACCTCATAATGGGTTATGCTTCCCCTGTTGTACATTTTCCATTGACGTGGTCTATTTATAATCAATGAAATAACTTGTAAGGAAATATTGCCCATACTGTAATAGCAGAGGCAAAGCTGTCTTTTTGATCAACATATCCTATTTATATATTGTGATCTTAAAGCTATTAACGAGTCATTGCATTAAAGGACTCATTTCTGTCCTGGTGTGCTGCCATCAATACCAAAAGTAGTCCCACCTTCAAGGTAGATTAAATTCTTTGGGGCTTTATTGCTTTGCTTGCCAGCCTTGATGCTTTTCATATTGTTTGGCTTAATTCAAATCAAGCTACTGCATCATACTGTCTGTCTCTAACAGCTGTAAAGAATCACAATATAGTCCGTGACCTTTCTTTTCTCTGTTGCTCTTTCTTATGAAAGAGGAAAATTGGCGTTTGGGCTTCAGTACTTTATTGGGTCAAGAATTTTTAGTGAAATGTCATGTAATTGCTTCTCTCTTTGGTAAAAAGGTGGCCTGGGAAAAATCTTTCTACTTCTTTTCCTTCTCCATGTGCATTTTGAAGTCTAGGGCACATTTATTCACAGGCTATTACAAGAGAAGAGAGATGGAAAGCCAGGTCAGTTTTCAAAAAAATAGCTAATCAATGGATTCCATTTGTAAATGAGAGTCCAGTGATAAATAGAAGTTAGAAACATGATACCTTATTTTCTGTACCTGATCAAAATTATAATGTCTCCCATTATGATGAAGGTTCTCGAGAGCCTGTAATGGTGGCTGTTTATTGATCAGTCTTGGTTTTCTCAGCTAATGTTACAGGCTGAGATATAGTGAGCCTTGCTCTCATGTTTAAAATGACTCTAAAACAGTTCAGGTCAATAACCTCATTATACAAAACCAGTTTGTCCTTGCAAACAACATTACCATGACTTAGACTCTGTCTCTAAGGTCACCACTTAGTTTCCCTTGTGTTTGGCCTAAGCATCATTTCTAGAAGATTGTTTGTTTTTCTCACAGTTTACAAGGGAGTTTTCCTTAGGTAAATTTAAAGTTTGGGCCTGTACATAATGTCCTAAAACCAGATGCTAAAAGGCACAGGTTTCTCTGTAGATATCAGCATACATTTATTCAGGAATATATTGCCCCCATCCCTAAAATCCAGAAAAAATAATTTGCATCCAGTTCTAAGCCTGGTATGATCATTTTTCATAAACTAACAATATGTTCAGTATTTAAACTGGAGAGCTACAGAAAGTCCTGAAAGCAGCAGATTTTAGGGTTTCTGTTCATGTTTTGAAGAAAGCCAGTCCCCAGACTGGTTAACAGAATGACTTTCATTGTAGCAAATCATGAAATGGACAAATGAACCATTGCCTAAGTCCATTCTTTCTACTCTTGGTGGATTCTCAAAGACTTTATTCCATATGGTATATATATGACTATGAACCAGGGTTTGGCACTAATTGTTACTGATAAACATATGTACATTTAATTTGGCTTTTAATTTTGTGCTTTTGTAAATAATGAGAAGGAAAAGTCTTAATTGGAAGTCAAGGAGAAACATTTTGCTTTCTTTATATGTAAAACAATCCAAGCAGTTGATGCTAATTTGTCACACCTCCACCCACACACTCAACTCTTGGGCCACTTTGAGATCAGAATTGGAATCTGCTATGCATGAGCATATCTACTTTCCACTGTTGCAGTAGTGATGCAAAGGGGAATTACTTTTCTGAAAGAAAAAGAAAGAACGAAAAGCTATAACTTCTCTTTCACATCCCTTACAGCCATTTTGTAGCAGTCAGCACTCTTTTTTTCTTTCCTTCTTTTCTCCTTCCTTGTTCCCCCATTTCCTCTGAATTCAGCTCATTTGAGAGAAGCAGAACATAAATGAAAAAACTATTTCTATCCTACCACTTCTCCCTTGGGCTTGGAGAAGATTCAACATATCAAGTCAATAGGGGCGAAAAGGCAAGATTGATTTGGAAGTTATGGAGTGTGAAAAAATAGTTGATTCACACATCACTCTTGATATGGACCATGACCTTGGAAACACCTGAAGATTAGCTGGAGTTTGTTGTAGACTGAAACACTATAGAGGCAACCACACAGTTTGAAATATAACACCCAGCAATACAAGGTAGAAAGCTGTGAGGGCTGTTTAAAATCTTTGCATGGATCAAAAACATCTTTTTAAAGGTTAGGGATGATTTTTCTAAAGGGTGATCCATTGCTCTGATAGTACATGAACAAAGCCTTTTCAATTTTGAGTCTGCATATCAAAATTTTTAAATTATGCAATTTCTAATGTCTCTTCCTTAACTCTGTGCTTTCTCATCTCTTAATAGAAGGGGAAAGGATCTGAATAGCCTGCAGTATGTTTTCATGATAAAAGTTCGTCTTTGGTTTTTGGTTTTTGGTTTTCGGAGGAGGAGATGCATGTGGAAAGTATAACAATTGTAAAGAAGAAGGTGATATTCTTTAAAAAGAGAATGAAAGTCACTCATGATTTATATATGTGTGTGTAAGTTCCAGTATTTAAATGGATAATTAATATGTCCACTGCTTGCAGGCATTCTAATTAAAGACACAACAGACAGAGAATGCTTCTGTCTTAGGAAATTGTCTGTTGGCACCTCCACGTTCTGCATCAGACAGCCTGTCTGTCCAGCTCCTACCCTCACCTCCCAAGCTGAGTTTTGATTGGAAGTTGGGCTCCTCCCTGTTCAGCTTCTTTCCTTTTCTTCTTTTCTTCACCTCATCAACTTCTCTAGAATTTCTTTAATTTCCAAATATTGTAAATTTTTGTTTTCCTTTCTTTTTATCTCTGAATAACCAACTAATCAACTTTTTTCTTATTTTCTTTGAGGATTTCCCATAAAAGTTCAAATATATATTATAAGACAATCCTACTAATGACATAGATGTAGTACTAGATGTCTGATGCAAAATTACTGGAAAAATCTTAGCATAGTATGATTAAAGAACTAAGTTTCCTTGTTTTGCTTTTTAATTCTTTCTCTCTCTCTTTTGCCCTCTCCCCCTCCTACACACACACTTTTATTTAATTTCATTTGTATGTTGTTCCTTCATCTTAACTTCAGAAATTATTGAAGAATGATTATATAAGTTAGATAAATTGTTTAAAATTTTACCAAAGTTATACCTTTGGTAATAGTATCTTATGATAATTCCATAGATGAAATAGATTTTAATATGTTCTATTTTCCACAGAGTAATAATGGTTCCTCAATAACACCCCATTTAGCAGTTCAATAGCAACAAAAACAACTGCTATCGGTAACAATAACTACAAAAGAAATAAACCATTTTTTAATGGATTTTTTAAATTGTTCTTTTTTTAACTCTGTTGAACTTAAGCATTTAGATGCCATTTTCTTCTATTCATATTTGGTTTTTAGCCTTATTTGAAAAATTGCTCTTTCTGTTATTTTTTAAATGTGTGTATGTATTTTTAAATGCTTATATCACCTTCCATATATTAGAACTGAGAGCATTAATGCAATTTGAAATGTCTTTGTTACTTTCTCAAATGATAAGATGAAGCCAGCTAGCTTGCTTTGCTAAATTTTATATTATCAAAAGAAATCTTGCTTATGTGAACCTAACAATATATTTTACTTACTGCTCTTGAATTATTTTTAAATGTAACAGACAAAGTAAGGTGTAAGGAGCCTTCTATATTTGGCCAAAGAGTTCCGTCCTAACCTTTAACACAAAATAATTTCTGTAGACAAATGGTCAAAAGGTCAATTATAATCTTCCAGGCATCATTTCCTCAGATATAAGCTGAAAAATGACAGCATCATTAGTCATTTCAATTACAGTCAATCACAACCAGGGATGTTTCATTTTCCCAGCTGTTTTGTTGTTAATTAACTAGATTAAGCTGTTTTTTATTCTCTCAATGAGTTTGTTCTACTGCCAACATCAACATCTTAACATTTCCAAGAATTTCCTTAGGGTTTATTTTTTGCCTAAAAATTGTTAATATATTACAACAGATGTGTGTCTCAAGATTTATTTATTGTATAACAGGTCAAGTGGTGTCTTCTTGGTCAAAATGTTGCCCAATTAAATATTATAACAGTATCTGAAGTTGATTAATATCATGTTGGTGAAAATATTGCCAAATTAAACATTATTATAATTATAACAATATTTGGATTTTGTAAATCATCTACTGTGCATCTGATCTCTTTTACCTGGTGTAATTTTTTTTTTTGTAACATCAGAAATCAACAGAGTTAACAGACATAAGTCATCCCCTCAAATGAGCAAGTCTATTTTGTCTGGCATATTTGGTGAGCACAATTTCCATGCCAATAACAACAGAAAAAGTTGAAAGAGGACTTAAAGAAAGAAACAGTATTAGAAGTATTTTATAATTTATTAATACATGAGTAGCAGCATTTTATTTTTTTAAAAAAATACAAGTTTGTTTTATAATTGAAAAACATGTTTTAGACTATGAGGTTGAACGAATGCTAATCACAATGCTTGAATATGAGGAGAGCTCCACTTTTCCAATGAGAAGGTAAAATTTATAGATTTTGAACAACCTATAAGCATAAACATTTAGACATATTTATGATATTGTCAAATGTCTAATTTATTTAAATTCTTAATTGAATAGCACTTCCATATTTGCAAATCTTACATTTTAAAAAATAACATACTGATTTAGAAATATTGCTTTTGACATATTAATATTTTATGCAAAATTTTCATTCAAATTCTTATATGTATTAATATATATTTAGAATTCCAGAACTCATAGTCTTTCTTCTTATTTGCAATATGGCATTGTTTGAATCCCCACATGACTAGAAGGTGAGAGAATTAAAGCAGCATTAGAAATGTCATTGTTAAAGGAATAGTAGTGCCTCATATTAATCATTTCTGTGATGGCTGAGTGGCCTCGTTTCTGTCTTGTTCCAAACATGGCCATG